CAGGCTTGTGTTAGTTTCCCCTAGGGAGACAAAATTCAAAATAAATAAGTCTACATCTTATCTTTCAGTGCTCGATCTGGCATCGATACCAGGGTTCGCATAATTTTTCCCGCACGGCTTGCTTCCCCTCCTTTTCACCCGTATTTCGATCCCCACTACTATTCTCCTCATGCGCCGATGCGCCTTCGCTGACCATGCCTAACATATCTCCATCAAGTACCAGTCCCCACCGTGGTCTCGTCAACCCCACTTTCCGGCCGAGGGAAAAATTATGAGAACCCTGATCGATACTGTTGGCCTTTAGCATAATTTTGACGCTTCAAAATAAAAAGAATTTTAATGTAGGTGATGGTAATGTGGTGAATCTTGATATCAGCATTTTTGTATTGCAGAAGACAATATATCGGTATATAAGTAAAATAATGATATTTGGTTATAATGAAAATGTACGACTTTTAGTCATTTCGGTCATAGTTTATACATATTATTTGTTTTCGTATCTATAGGTCAGGTCATATGTAGACATCCGAAGGTTAATGAATGGAAGAAACACTGATCTTAGACCCATGTCGTAAGTGTTCTGAACTTCCTGGAATGTAAGTATGTTTCTCTTCTACTTTTTACAACATAACTGATTAATAACGAATACTCTAATGCAACGATTAAATGTGCATAGGTTATCACTGTCGCCTTAGCATCAGAGGCTGCCACCATCGTGTACCGGGCAGTATAGAATAGACTGGCATCTCAGAAGCGTGAAGCTGTACGATACGTTTCCTTCACTTCGCCTGCACGAACTTTCAGCTTCTACAGTAGTTTAATAGGCCCGGAAGATTAATAACAAGGACGAAAAATCTTGGATGATTCAAACAAACGTTGGTGTCGACTATTGTGAAACATTGCAGGCAGCTGAAATTAGGGGTACGTAAGATCCTTGAAATTGGATAAGCTTCGATTCACAGTCAGTTTTCATATCTTAGAAGTCGATTTAGGTACAGTTGTTAGAGAAACTGAAGTAAAGCAGAGCCTGTTAGCTTTAAATTGAGCTGTAAACGAAGTATTTCAGTTCTTAACTACGTTATCAACAATTAAATATAAATCATATTTTTGGTCAGTGATGAAGAAATTAATTTTATTTGTGAACATTTTTCAACTCCAAGGAGCGAATTTTGGTAGCACTGTCAAAGTAACTGAAAAAAGGGGTAACTGTAGGCTTCAATTTGAGCTGTAGGTGAAGTAATTTGGACCAATATTAATGAAATTATTCACAATTGCAATTTGACGATATTGTTCATTAATATACGAACTTTAGAATTTGGCAAGGTAAGATTCATTTTGTTCCTTAAGAGTTGATATAGGTAAAATTATATAAGACAATGAATTATAACAGTTTTCAAATTTCGATTTGAAACGTGAACGAAGTAAATTGATTTATTACTATCAAAGCTATGAACCACTGAATTTAAAGTATATTTCTGACTAGGATACAATTTTTGCAATTAGACAAGACCCTGTAAAGTATCATACAACCATCATAAACTATCACACCCTTCTCACAGACTACTACACGCTATCATACACAATCATGCACAATGATAAACCTTCATAACGAAAAAGATAATACTGGTTTCTTAGTAGAGAGTTTCATTTTTGAGTTGTTCCAGTACGAAGTCTCACGCACAGCCGAAGTGGTATTCTGCTCTATCTCCCGAAGGACGTACTATTATATCTAGATATTTTGGGGATGGTAGGCTAGTAGTGAGAATGTTCTTAAGAAACGGGAAATTTTCCAGGTAGTGAACACAAGGGTTGATATCACGTGCAGGTTCGACTGGTTGGGCTGGCAAGAAGTCACAAATATCATATTTTTATGATTCTTCGGAATGGTCCGCACTGACCGTATATCGCAAATTGTAAACTTTGGGAAAGAAGGTTGCATTCTAGTAGCTGTGAAAAGTTATGGGAATGCTTTTTCGGAATTTAGGAACGAAAAGAAGGATACTAAGGATAACATTATTTAGGAATTACTCCATACGATCATATGACCATTATACACTATCATAAACTATGATACAACCATTATAAACTTTTATACTCTATCATAAACTTATTTATTATACAGGCATTATAAACTATTATACCAGCATCGTAAACTATCGTACGCTATCATATGGAATATTTCTATTCTCATACTTAAAGTAGTACTATCTAAAAAGATTTTCATATTGCTTCGTGTCCATTATCGTCTGTTGCAGTAACGATCTGGAACTAGTTCAAATCCATTTGAAACCCTTGGCAGTCGAAGGCTAAGTTGCTGACTTGTGTCGCCCAGAGACACAACTTTTAATCGAAGAGATCAACACCGTCGATTTTAGAAGTTTGATTGATAATATGAAGAAACGCTTAGATTTAGTAGGAAAAATCGTGAGTTTATGCCTAATGCTATCGGCAATTGACGCGAGTCCGTATCAAAGAGGAGAAGAAATAAAACTAGAAAGGACAGAGATTAAATTCTTATCAACAAATGATTTAGTAAAGGTCAACAGAGTTAAACGGAGCGACGTGCATGGAGAATGCATAAAAGGTACGACTGGCCTCCTTGGTGGTACGCAAGTACTAACTGGCGCTGCTATGGGTGCTCTAATTGGCAGCACTGTGCCTGCTCTGGGCACTGCTATAGGCGCAGTAATCGGGTTTCTTGTAGGTGGCGTTGGGGGCGCAGGTATTGGTGCAGGTATGGGTGCGATCTTATGTCCGAGAAGTGACAATCTCAACGAAGCAAATTTAAATCTAGATTTAGGAATAATCGAAGATGACAGTGATATAACGATATTGAACGAACTTAAAAAGTTAAATCAAGCTTTGGATGTTAACTATTTATATATAATCGAAAAAAAAGATATTTCGGCTAAAGTAGTAGCTTCAAAGTTTAGTATCTATGAAACAGATACCAATGTAATTGTTAAATATCTGATTAGGCGTAATTTAATCGACACTTCTTTATTACTGAGACAATGGTCGACCATGTTTAAGGAACAGCAAAGAGAAATGGAACGGCAAATTAAAGAAGACATTCCTAGTTTTAGTATCGCGCAAAAAAGGACATGGTTGGATGATAAAAAGTCTCAGCTCAGATTTCTGTTCCATAGTTTGGCGCAGAACATTTTTATAATTAAAAATGACGAGTACATAAAGAAACTGTATCACAGGGTCCAGTCGTTGGAAAGTGATTTGAACTCTTTAAAAAATAAAATTGAGATGATGGGAAATGACAGTTCTATATTGTCTCTGTGCGGATCTGAAGCCAATGCTATTTCGGTATACAGTCGCTATGTGCCTGTCGTTGGTGAAGTAATCGAGTATGTTAGCGCATTAGTTTCCGCAACTTGCTTTTTGTTCAACGAATTCAATTTTTAATATAACATTATTTAGAGATTAGACTTACCTATTCATCCACAAGTGCACCTGCTCACGATGGGTCACGGTCAATGGGTCAGCGTCTTTGCCGCTCGCAGGTAGGCCACAGCTGATTTTCTGTTCAGAGAAGGAACCCCGCAATGACAATCCATCGCACGATCACTGTCACTCTACACTTAAAAATTTTAACACAATAAGATTGTTGCTCCTGCGTTCTATCAATACACGTCTTTGAAAGGAACAGATTGATTTTTATACACAAACTCAATTTCATTACACCACTGTCACTCTTCATTTAAAAATTTTCAAACACTTACACTGTTGTTCCTGCACTCTAACATTAAATGTCTCCGAAAGGAGCCGGTTTTTCTTCATTCACAAAATGAACTTTCCTACACATTCACTGTCCGCGTGGCTCGTGAATTACACGACGCGCGAAGGGCGCAATTCCATCGGGGTGCCGCTCTTTGTATCGGCATCGACGGATAACCAGCTTCGCGTATCGGATCATTTCGTAATAGTCTTTGTTGGATTTTTCGAACTCGCTCGTTGAGTTGAGGTGCACGACTCGACACCTACTGATCCGTCTTTCACAATTTTCCTTTGGGAGAATTTTCCCCACTCGATGGCCAAATTCGATAGTGAAAATGTTTTTAGCATTCCTGAAAGAAACTCGATCTTTGATTCCTTATCATATTTATAACACACGCCACGTATTAAACACTCGATACCTCCGTGACTTGCAATTACCAACCGTCGACGCCTGCATTGCCTTTTGCCGTAGCCGTAGACAAATTGTATGCAGATAAAAGCCGTGCCATAATCCGTCCGAAAGAACTATTGCCAGTTTATTATTTTCGATTGCCCTTAACGTATAACTAGTTGAATGCGTAAAATACGACTTGTGGCGAAAAGGTCCCTAGACGGGTCCGCGACACGTTAGGTTTAGTTAGCTAGTAAGTTGTNTTTGAAATCCCCACGCCTGAAAAAAATTCAAAACCTATTTCAAAAAATACCACTCCCGTGACCACTCCCATTCCTGTTATTATTGTTGATCGTGATATTGATATTTCTGCGAAAAGAAAAACTACGTTTTTAAAATTCTGTGAACGTTTAAATGAATTAACGTTGCCAAAAAATTGTTACTTAAATTATTGTATAGAAACATGTTATGTTACTTTATTTGAAATTTATATTGAAAAATGCAACGAAAATCATACCAATACGCTCATAAAAAAAAAGTATTAATGTAAATAATAAGATAGAGTTACGTTACACAATATTGAATGAACCTGTGCCAGCAAGACAGTTCAATTTAAAAACTAATGTTGAAAATATTAATGAGTTGGAACTTTGTTTTAAAGAATTTCTTGAATTTAACGTTTGTGACGAATTAGTTAACTTAAAAGACGAACATCTGGTGGACAATGAAATATCGCAAAAAGAATTACCCCTGAGGAAAAAGAATTCAAAAAGAAGAAAAAAAATGGATTCATTACTTCTATGGAAAAATAAAGTACGTGCTCAACGAAAAGTTCTTAACCGTGCCAAATTCAAAATAATGAAATTAAAAAGTAATATGAATAAGATAAAGTCACAACTAAAAAATGGGAATGTAAATAACTTATTAGAAAATCATATGGCAAATAACATTCCGGACGTACAAAAAACGAGAAATAGTTTCATGTGCAAGAAGAAAAAACAAGAAAGGTCATAGGTATAATGAAGATTGGCTAATGTTATGCCTACTTTTACACATTCGGTCTCCCAAGCAGTACAGGAATATGCAAAAAAATAATAATAATTACAGAGTAAGCATCGTGTCATAATGATCTCATCTGACTTTTTAAAAACTTTTTCAACGGTAAACATGAAATTCAAATCAAACATCAGTAAAAACAATTTCATTTAATTTAAAATTTAGATCCTACAGCTAGCCTTTCTTTGGCTAAATAATTGGGAGTCGAATGTTTCGAAAAAATTGATTACCAAAGATGAATTTCTACCTAACAATACCACGCAGGGTCTTCGTGTAACGATTAAATCCACAATGGACATTACAGATTATTTAATATCAAAATACGATTTTGATTATATTTTAACTGGGAGATTGAATCAAGACTCACTAGAGGTGAGCACGTCATAAAATACATATTTGTAAATGCTTCGTTATCATTATCACCATTATTGTTATTTATTTCTAGAAATTTTTCGGAACAATTCGACAAGCATGTGGTGCTAATGATCACCCATCAACACCAACATTTTTAATGCTATATAGTTTATTAGCTGTTTATAGTATTTTAAAACCGCCCCGGTATGGAAATTGTACAGTTGACGAAACCAGTTTACCAAACAGATTAATAACTATATCAGATTTAAAAGAAATATATAATGAAAAAAAACAATCAAAATTAATCAGTTTAAAAATAAAATTAGACGACCTTATAGAAAATGATGAATGGGAATTCTCAGATGTAGCCGAGCACGATTATTCTCAAGCAGGTGTGATAGACTGTGTAATATATTATGTAACAGGTATATCAAATTTCTAAAACAATATTTTAATTGAATAAAAATATAAAATATAAATATATTTATATTTTCATATGCATATAATTTATTCTTTAATGTTATAGGATATTTAGTGAAGCAGATTTTGAAAAGAACAAAATGTAATAAATGCCGGGAATCATTATTAATACATCAAAACGAATATTGGATAGCAGAACAAGAACTGGTTTCATTAAAATCTAAATTTAATTTAATTCACTGCAATATTCATTTCTTTAAGATGATCCAATACTTGGAAAACATACAGGGTGTAAACCTACAGGTGGGCAATATTTTAAGGACGTATTCTATGGT